GAGCTACTACGACTCTATAGGAATAGTACAAGTAAGTACAAAAATATTTGTTCAGGGTCTCGGGATTTATCTATGTCCATAATTTTCAAAACGCAGCGCCGCTGCGATTTGGGAGAAAATTCTAGTGTTGAAGGAAAAAAAAGTAGCGTTTTCTATTTGTACAAACTTTCGGAGAAGCCCTAGTCAAGCGTTACTAACTCTTCTTTAAATTTTTTATCGTACTTATCCTCATAAAATGTTTTTCTTTGCCTTTAATTGACGCCCTCTCCTCTACTCTAATTGATGATGATATCAAATTGGGTCTTAATACCAATCATAGATTATGAGAAATAACATAACCTAAAACATTCAGCATGCCAATAACCTACCTAGGGAGACCTACGTATAAAATTAAATTTTGTAGGCTAAAGAATTGTAGATATTATTTAGATTAGAGCTTAGTTTAAGATTACGTGGCTATTGATTATCGGGCATTGTATTCAATTTCCAGTTTTGTCACGTAGTGTACGGTTGATCGTTTTTAGTTGTTGAGTGTAATTTAAAATACTTTTAAGATAAAAAGTTATCAGTGCCCTTCTTCGGTCGAGCTGTATCATTTGTGTTGGACTCATTATACACCTTTGACGTTACTATAAAACTTAAAATATATATAGGTATTTACATCAAACAATAAAATGTCAAATTTTCTATACAAACATTTTTTGCTTTAATTCGTTTTTCTTTATACAATTAAGGATGACTAAAGATAACAAAATCCACCTGATAGTAAGTGTACGCTGAGGCTTTTATGTGACTACATCTACCTATTCTCGATTAATTCTCAAATGCCAATACGTTGTCACTCCTGATGACTACGATAGAAGGTAATTAATAGTAACAAACGGTAACCCGTTATCGTCACTCACCTGACGAATCACATCAGCTCTACAATGTTATTTTACGTTATCATTATGTGTGAGTGTGACCCATCCCCGGTTGAGTCGAGTGACAATTTTAGAAAGACAAGCGTAACGTATACAGAAAGTTTTATAGTTTACTTTACTACTATAAATGATGAAAAGTTATCGTTTTTATATTTGTGAAACATTTCTTTAGTTTTAATATAATGTAGGATATCTACAATTGAATAGTCCCATGACCAATAGAAGCGCAGTGTTGGGCGACTCCCTACTAGATGGAGAGATGACCTACTGAAACACGCAGGTAGTCGATAGATGATGCAGGTGGTTCAGGACCATACTTTGTAGCAATCTATGTTTAATGTATTTATTATTTATTTTTATTGTATTTAATTATTACGAGGAAGACGCTGCTGCAATCTCCTAGTTTATTTCCTTCTGTCGCCTCTTCTGACACCCATAGAACGATATGGGATAGTGGATATTCTTACACCTCCCTTATTCGGTAAAGACACTATTTAAAAGTATATAGATATTATTTAGCACAGGGCAATAATACTCTGCGGTAGGTACATAATATCATAGGGTAATTTATTGTATAGTAATTTTTATAATCCATATTTTTTTAAATTTATTATTTTTATAATAGGATATATAAATATTGCATAATATGCTGATGTTTTTGTTTCTTAGTCTTAAATTTTACTTTGAATACTTGTAACTTTGATCGAAATTTTTACTAACGTAATATTTATTTTTTGTAGTTTTTATTTGTTAACTATCAATCAACTTGAGGAAAGGTGTTTCGGGTAAAACAATACCTGTTCTTATATTATTTGATATTCTTATACGCTACTTACCTTATGCCTATATTATATATATATATATATATATATATATATATAAATTAAGTTCTTGTTATTATTGTTTATATTCATCGTATATCATATTTTTTTAAATTACTATGTCTGACGATGAACTATGTGTTCGAGACCTGGTTAAAACCTAACCTAAATTCTACATCCTATAGTCTACTAGGCTCTGTGTCATGTTTGTCTCAGTGTTATGATTGAATTTTTAGGCGTGGAGGTGGATTTGCTATTTACATACATAGTGATATAACATTTAAAGTAATATCCACTTTTAATCAACAGGCTAATGACATGGAGTATCTGTTTCTATTAATTAAGTGAAAGGGGACCAAAACCATCATAAGACGGGTCTTTTACTCACCTCACTCTAAAAAAAAGACTCCCCTAATTCTCATAAGTTACGGTTGGTCATAAACTCAGTCAACCTCTCGATTCATTCCCGTATAGATACTCACTTAAATTTTTCTATGCACTTTTATTTAATTTTGCAGTAGCCACTTTCGATCAGGTGGACGTTTGTCACAAAAATTTAATAATTATACATAAACTCTAACCCCTGTCACCCAGATATATAGGTAAATATTTCGAACTCTCATTCGGCACGATCGTTACACTTTCATATGTAATCTTAGCGTAAATTCAAGTTGGTTAAGGGTATACTTAATATTTTTATAGGATAGAGTGACAAACGAGCACACAGTCCACCTGATGGTAAGTGGTAGTTGTGACCCAAAGACATCTATCCTCAATAAAGAATCAAAATGCAGATGGGTTGTCGCCCGTGCAGACTAAGACGAATTGCTTCTTTTCCAGTAAAAAGATATCCGGTTCTCTACACTCACTTCACGAGTACGAAATACAATAGTGTTAAGCTGCTATTTTATGATGGTATAATGTGAGAGCGTAGTCCTTACCCGGTCGAGCCAACGCATTTGTCATCTTCAAGATATCTACAATGTGGTTGATAAACTTCCGTCTGGGGCATTACCGACTCCAATTATTTAAATATTAAATAAACTCCAAATTCAACTCTCGAATCAAAACGTTGCTGATTAGATACTATTTTAGTAAAGTTATTATTCGGCTAAAGCGTATGAAAAATCTAATGATAATCTTAACCTTACTACAGGCTACGGATTTATTATCATTCTTCATTTTTATTTATTGCGACATTGTGACGTCACACTTAACCTTCCCACGTCAATCTGAGTAATAAAATGCAAATTAAAATAATTAATTATATACATAAATCTGGTATAAAAATATTCAAAACCTTTTGATGTAAAATATATATTTTTAATATATTTTTTTTATGATGAATAATAACAGTGTATTTTGTATTTATCCTTGACGTGATATAATAGTCTAAGTATCTACTGTGACACTATATTTTTTTAAATATTAATATGTGCATTTTATTCTCACACAATACGGACCGAATATTGTAACTATCATTTATTTCACATTAAATAACAACATTTTAAGACTGATATAATATGTTAGAAGCTAAATGTGATAATGGGTCGGCGCGAACGAGAAATTCTCACAGAATACCAGTGTAAAATAGCAGTTTAATGCTGCTGTGTTTCGTACGGTGAATTTAGAGAATCGGAGACCCTTTTTAATTGATGTGAGGCATCTTAATCCTCGGGGGTGACAACGCATCTGCATTTTGATTCTTAATTGGGGATATATATCTATGGACACTGTATCCCCTTACCATCAGGTGGACAGAGTGCTCGTTTGACACATTTCTAACCTATAACCTTCTTTCAATATATAAAACAGCGTATCAAAGGTACACTTCTGCACATAAATCTCTAACATGGATAGCCAAATAGTTACATTTGCCATAGTTGCCACGTTTGGCAAGCAAATTGGCAACAGAAATTTTTATTATTTTGATTTGTTAACAGCAATATGCTGCTGCCCATCCTCTGTTTCATTTCTCTATGTTGTCTCTTACGACACCTATGTTATGATATTATGGGGTAGTGGATTCTCTTAGGCCACTTTGACACAATACTACTACTAAAACAATATTTTTGTGAGTTTACTTTTATTTACCTTATTCTTTAAGCGGTCTTTAGTTTAAAAGAAGAAGAAGGTAAGTAATGATTAAAAATGAATATAATAAGATTTATGAAATAACATTACCCATTTTTATTTACAATATTAATTTATTGTTTTTTGTAAGAAACATCAAGGATTGTGATAGTGATGAATGGTTTCAAATATCAAGGAATTAGAGTGTCATTTAGGACTATGTTAATAAACGTTTAAAAGAAACCTGTTATCTGGTTGTTTTAATAACATATAGGCTTAAATAAGAAAAGTAAATCAATCATATACATTCAAAGAACATTTTGTAGAAAAAGAAAAACACTATGTTCATCAGTAGTTATCAGAAAAAACCTAAAATAAAACTGCTTAAAATCCCAAGAAAGTTAACCTTTCGTAAAAAAGCATATCAAAAAACTTGTTTTAATCTTACCTTCAGAATTCAGACCGAGTTTAACTAGCTTACCTTACTTTTAAAGATTGTGATACATATTTCACTAACTAATACCACTCCAACAAGCTAAATGCAACTTTATTTAATAGATCTAAAATAAAACTGGTTTTGAAATTTATTTTATAACACAAAAACGTTAACATTTCGGAATAAATCATATCAAAAAAAAATTCTTAGTCTTGCATTCAAAATTCAGATCGAGTTTAATTAGCTTACCTTAATTTTTGAGATGATTACACATAATATGTCCCTAATTAATACCAATCCAACAATCTAAATGCAACTTTATTTAATAAATACAGTGTTCTTAGGTGTTATCTATTGTCTATCTATATCGTAAAAAAATCGATAATTTTATGTAAAATTGATGAATTTGAATTTACATACTTGAATAAAACAAAAAATAAACAACAATAGCGACAATTTCCTGATCTATTTTGACCAAGTGAATTTTTTTTTAAATATTGTTATATTTTTTTAATATACCAAGTTCTTAATGTTCTTGTATCATCTGAATTTGAGCTTTATTCCAAATTTGAAGTTTCCAGTCCATCGGGAAGTTAGTTTAAAATCAATTACTAAATTTCACCCGAAACGACAGACAGACAGACAAAACAAGAAAGTGACTTAATAAAAACTTGGTAAAATGACACGAGAATTTCCCGGCTTTATTAACTATAAATGTACAAAAACATAACATATTTTCTATATTATTTAATAGATGGGTAGTGTAAAATCTACTAGTCTTTCTGATTCAGTCCATAATCTCTTAGCCAGTTCTAAATCTAGTGACAACTGAGAAGGTTGTTTTTCTCGACAGTCTCTAAAATAACGACCACTTAAATTGGCCACTTCTGGAGAAACTGCCAAATACACAGATGTTTGAGAAGCTTCCCAGGGGTCTTTATTGAAAAAATTAACCATTTTCTTAACTAAATTTTGAACAGTCGAATTTTTAATGTTTCTATATAGATTGGTTCCAGTTACACCTGGATGCAAAGCGTTTACAATAATATTAGTACCTCTTAATCTACGACTAAGTTCTAAAGTCATGAGATTCAGAAATAGCTTACTGTTTGCGTATACTAAATGATCACTCCAATATTTTTCCATGTTCAAATTCTCAAAGTCCATCTCCCCATATTTGTGCATATCTGATGATACGTTTATGATACGGCTCGGCGCTGAAGATTTTAAGAGAGGTAACAATAAACAAGTAAGCAAAAACGGCCCAAAGTAATTCACTTGCATTCCTTTGTGCAGTCCATCTTCTGTTTTTCCATTTCCAAGACCACCAGCCGCAGCGTTATTTATAAGAACATCCAGACGCTTTTCTGTCTTTAGTATATTTTTGCAAAATTCCCGAACAGAGCGTAATGAAGACAAATCTAGTTGCATACAATGAATACTTGTATTGCCAGTATATTTAATTATTTCTTCTTTAGCTAAAGCAGCACGACGCACACTCCGACAGGCGATTATTATTTTAGCACCACGGTCAGCCAAATTCTTTGCTGTTTCCAATCCTATCCCACTGCTACCTCCTGTTATAATTACCACTTTTCCGACCATATGAGCGTTTGACCGACATATTCCATAAGTAACTTGCTGATGTATTTTAACGATGAAAATAACTAACACTGTAAAAAGTAGTAACATCCAGAAGAACATGGTTTTATTCAATTAATTCTTTTACAAGTATTCACGTGGAAATGAAAATAATAAAATAATCGCCTTGACAGTTATATGCACAAATTACGACAACACTTACTAGGTCACTTGTATATTTGGCAATAAACGCGATGAGTCACGGCAGGGTATCAATACAACTGAGACGTACGTACACTATGATAACAATTTATTTTCTCTACCGTTTTCAACATCGCGACTCGGAGCGAAAGTGTCTACCTAGTGTATTATTAATGAATACGTGCGTACGCGACGGCCAGTGCCACGGTCATGCTCATTTTGCGCTACACGTCATTCAAATTTGTGCCGGTCTAAACGAATTCACCTTGAATGTAACATTTTATTATAAAAAAACTCAACGAACAAGCAATAATTTTGTGCGACTTATAAAAAAACACTCAACGAATAGAAAATTTTAAGCAAATATAAAACTATGCCTTGGAACAATTTAAAATACATGCGTAAATTATTTTTGGTTACTCTTATCATTCAATTAACAATATATTTTGTCTGAACAATAATGGTAAAAAATTTATGTCTTCTCTCACTATAAGAAATTTTCGTTTTATTGTGTATGATTTAAATTGAAATATTATAAGATATTATATTTTTGAAGATAAATAACATACTTTAAATAACTCCTATACGTTGAAGGCATTTGACATACAACCATTGCACATGGACAGACATCCAGGCCCAGAACAAGGCATAAAAAACTTGTAGTTGTTTTGTACGGGATTCGAAACAGCATACCGAAATAACATGGCCATACATAGTAAAAACATACAACGTTGAATTATCATCATCATTACAGCCCTTTAAAAGTTCACCGCTAAATATATAGGCATCCCCCCAAGCTACGCCATAAAATACGTTCCTGAGCCACCTGCATCCACGTTCTGCATGTCTTAAAACGTCGATTTTTCATATAGTAATGGGCCACCCTACAATTAATTTATAAGTACGAAATTGCCACTCGAGATCCTTAAGCCTGCCGTTTGTACCTTTAATACAAAAGTGATGAAAATAAGAAATAGCGTTTCTATTTTATACAAAACGACAGAGTAGCCCTAGTCAAGAGTTTCTAACTCCATTCTATCCAATCTTCCATTCTAAATTACCAAACTATATTCTATATTTTGTTTTATTTTTAGAAGCAGCATAACTAAGTAGTGCAAAACTATCTTAAGGCCTACATTTTTGTCAGCCTGTAAAAGTCTTCTCCCGATGAAGGGAGAATTTTCCTTAATTGCCACGTTTATCAGGTTATCTTGTTAAACCGTCAGTGTAAATTTTTTTAAACTTTGCGGTTGCAATAAAATTAGGCGCTACTCATTTTTGGTCTTAAGTGAATTAACTTGACTAAAAACCGATAATATTAAAAACGGAAAATGTCACGTTCATACTTTGAAATTCTTCAATAAACCTTTAGATAAAGCCAAAAATAACGATGAAAAGTTGCGCTGAGCATTAGTTCTATAGTTGGTTTATCATTTACTAAACTATGAGTACAAACAACGATATTAGTTCATTAAATAATTTTAAGACCAACATTCAAAAAGCAATTTTATGTCCTTAAAGTGATGTAATAACTCAATTTTTATATAATACTAGCTGACCAGGCAGACGTTGTTCTGCCCTCTCCGATGACCCTGTGTCCTATAAAAATTATTAAATTCGTAGTAAAAAATATTGATGGTCACTTATAGAGATAAAAAGTATCCTATCTCTCAAGTTGGGCCAAAATGCACACAGTGTGTAAAATTTCATTGCAATCAGTTTAGTAGTTCAGGAATTCATCGCGGACAAACAATGTGACACGTAATTTTTATATAAAAAGATAAATATAGGTACTATTATAAAATATTTAAATTTCGTGAAACTTTAAACGTTTTAAATAAAAATGAGGAATTGATTTGGAGGTAGAGCAGCATTACTAAACGAGTACGGGTCCAATCTGACAGTAATAGGTCACTGTAGCACAATATCATATAAGCCCTTATAAATTGCACTATTTTTGGCGACGTTCAAGGAATAATTATGATATGAACTTTTTCTCGTTTTTGTTTTCTCGTAACTTACTCTGCACATTATTCTGATATTTTGATGTAAATCTAAGTTGTTCTGATTACATAGGAAGAGTGAGGCACTCCCAACAAAAGTATGTTATTATTACTTTCTGGGAGGCCTAGGCAAATTAATTGTAAAAGATTTACTGAAATAAAACATTTGATTATTATTATTTTATTATTATTATTAAATTACATCCTAGTATCCTGTCAAGATGTTGGATGTTCTTGTATTTCTCGCGTTTAAGTCTGCATCGGTCGTGTATTGGCGGTGTAAGAGTACCCACTATCTGATATCGTCCCGTGAGTAGCGTAAACAACAAACCAGCTACAACTCCTGGTTGGGAAGCAGAATCCTCCTAACAAAAAAAACTCCGCCAAGCATAGCGACTATGACAAATACTCCCTTCCCCTCCTATAAGGCAATGTATGGGAGCGGCCTATATTCAGCAGTGTATTTTGATAGGCGTAACGTTAATGGTGTTATATCAGTATAAAGTCCCACAATTTTTATTGAATACTTAACTAAAACGCTGTATAATGGCGGCTAATACGAGTACCACGAATGCATCACCGTATCTTATCTTGCAGGTGTCGTAAAAAGCAATTCAGTGAATTGTTCATAAGATCTTCTGGCCTCCGATAAATCGCTATATAACCTACCTCCTATTTATCCTTTCCTTTAGTACAGCCTATATAATTTAAATTATATAAGATATAATCTCGCTCGCTAAATCCCATCTAATAAAACCACATACAATTATTTGTAAATAAAAAAATATTTTAATTAAATTAAAGATTTTTTTGGCGAGTTTTCTGAAGTAACGTTATTTCTAAACGTTTGAATATTGATTCTGATTATACACTTGACTGGAACCACAGGGTTTTTGTTCCATATTGTATAACTTTAATAAAATAACATATTCTGTTGAGATTTTATGTAAAAAGTTTTTAAATATTAGGCACACTTACTTCGTCGAAATATACGGAAATATAGAAATATATTTGAGATACATATTATTTAAAAAATACGGAACTATTTACTATATACTTCCGCGAATTGACTTTTAACTGGCCGTGACATTTATTGAATATTTGCGTATAAAAATACAATATTCCACAGAGTTTATTAATGAATTTAAAATATTTCAAGAGTTCAATAACATATTAGCACAGTATAATAAATAAACATACAGTAGGACGACGCCTTTGATCTCGTGGTAAATGCCGACAACGTCTAGACAGCGTATGGAGGTTAGGGTTGTCACAAATTAACAACTTTTACTAATTCAAATTTTTATTTTAGATCTACATTGTCATCAACAGTATGATTACTTATATAAAAAAATCAGTAAAAATTTGTTCTTAGATTTTTCCTAAAAGTACTCAAAACGTTAATTGCACGCTTCACAACGTGAGGGAGTGCTCTATTCTCCTTATGTGACCATACCTCAACTTCGCTACATAAAATCGTTCTTATACTCTTAGCTAGACATCAAATCCATATTATTATTAACGTAACAATGACTACAGACATTGAATTATTAGTTTATTTTATAATTGATTATTTAGGCTTTCGAAAGTTCTTCCTACTAAATCAGGTCTTCCAATAACTTCCATCTATAATTTGCTTATGAATTAATTATTAAAAATATTAATAAATTTTCATAATTATCACCCCCAAAAACCTTAAAATTGACATCCATATTGTATTATTAAAAAATCCACCATCTTGGATATGAAAATTAATGCCGTTTTCGTAATTGACACCCCAAGAAAACTCGAAATTGACATCCATAACATTAAAAAAATTATGTCCACCATCTTAGATTTAAAAATGAATTCCATTTTCGTAATCAGCGCCACAAGAAACCTCGAAATTGATACCCATATCATATTATTAAAAAAATGTCCGCCATCTTGGATATGAAAATAGATGCCGTTTTCGTAATCATCACTCCAATAAACCTTGAAATTGACATCCATATCATACATATATTAAAAAATGACCGCCATCTTGGACTTAAAAATAAATGCTATTTTCGTAATTAGCATCCCGACAAACCTAAAAATTGACCCCTAAATCTTAATATTTTATAAAAAACTTCAAAAGACCGAAGACGAGGCACTACAGTATGGTCTAAAACCTTAGCCTGTCCAACCACACGATTTTAATGAAGAAAAAAATCAAACTTCGAAACAGTAATGTCCAGCGACTAGTACCTATTTTCTACGTCCACCATTTTTTTACGTTGGCAATTTGGCATGACATAACAAAATATACATAATGTAAAAAATAATAACAATATTTATTTACCTTTCTTCCGTGTGCGCGATTTGGTGAAATCGCAGATCTTTATTTATGCGAGACGACGACTTGCAATCTCTCACAGCACACGTCGTATGAACCATTGTAATTATAATTATCAACATAAATAATAAAACATAAATTTAAAAATTATAAAAGCAAACGCGCGTTAACCCTGGAAGTCATGTCCCGAGCTTCTAATACGATTGGCATAAGCAGCTCGGGCTCGTCCTTCCCGCGCCTCACCCCTCACGATTGCCCTGTCTAGACGTCTTCGTCGGACGACTGTATGGATTTATAGACTGTGATATTAGGCACTAAACAATGTTTAACCTTCATTTATAATAAGTTTATTCCGTCAGATTTCGAGAAAAATTGCTTGTTGTTTTAGTGACATATATGTAGACGGCTCAAGTATGGATCAACAATATCATTTCTGTGAAGGTTACGAACCAGGCATGTTGTGTTGTTACGATTATAATGTACATTGAAGCTTGGCTTGATTTGCTACTAAAGAGATTGATCATTAAGTGAATAAGTCTGATCTGATGATTTAAAGTTAGAATCCTCATATCATCTCAACTCAGTTTTCATTACATGTCATC